GCCTGTTTGTTCCTGTGCACCTGGACTTCATATTTCCCAGAGAGAGGAGCTGGGTAATGTGCTACTTCAGAGAGCAATGACTTTTCTCTTGTCCAATCTTCTCAGAGTGACTTTGGCTTAGGCAGTCTTCACTGGTTTCACCAAACGTAGGGGTGTTTTATTGATGCTGTGCATGTGACATGAGCAAATTCAGGAGGAACCACTTGGAACTGCTTTCTTCCAAGAAGCAAACTGCAAAGTTCTAAGCTCTGGCATAAAACAGAACTTCTCTCAAAATTACTCCACTATTTTTCAAAATGGCAGTTCACTAAGATGTGATTGGGAAACACCATTTTAAAAGTGCAACATTTAAATAGTCATTAGGGTAGGCTAGGAGGGGAATCCTGTTCGGTGTCAAAATGCTGGGGTCCAGCCCCAGCGGGTTCCAGGGGTTCCCAAAGGTGTGGACGGAGTCGGCGAAGAATGAATGACACGGAGGCAGTGTTCAGGTGATCATCATAGCCAGATTCTTTTTTTTATTGTCATCTAACATCTGTATTTATACTATTTGGTCCTCACCTGGGGAAACAACCCTTCTTCTCCTAGCCCGGTTCCTCCCCGTATTGTCCTCTTACATCTGCATTTATCCTATTTGATCTTAACCACATTTATTCCATTCCAAAGGCTAGGGCGTTTCTCATCTCCATTTCAAGGTTCCTTGAAACATCCCTGCAGCCAGCGTGGATCGGCTTCCAACACAAATCTAATGCCATCACTTCATTGCTAAAATAAAAAACAACCCCCTTTTTTAATTCTCTGTGGTTTACCCTGAATACAAAACCTTTCCATTTAGATCTCGCCCTTTTTCTTTGTACCCTCATCCCTTTCCATTTCCCTTCTTATCCCAGAGCATAGCATGAAGTTGGATGCCACCTCTATTATCTATCTATCTATCTATCTATCTATCTCCGGTTCCTCCCCGTATTGTCCTCTTACATCTGCATTTATCCTATTTGATCTTAACCACATTTATTCCATTCCAAAGGCTAGGGCGGTTCTCATCTCCATCTCAAGGTTCCTTGAAACATCGCTGCAGGGACTGCGTCAAGCAGCCAGGGTGGATCGGCTTCCAACACAAATCTAATGCCATCACTTCATTGCTAAAATAAACAACAACCCCCTTTTGTAATTCTCTGTGGTTTACCCTGAATACAAAACCTTTCCATTTAGATCTCGCCCTTTTTCTTTGTACCCTCATCCCTTTCCATTTCCCTTCTTATCCCAGAGCATAGCATGAAGTTGGATGCCACCTCTATTATCTATCTATCTATCTATCTATCTATCTATCTATCTATCTATATCTATCTATCTATCTATCTATCTATCTATCTATCTATCTATTATCGGCTCGGTGCATGAAATTCATGCATGGGAGGTCTCCTCAGCCCAGCCCGCACCCTCTCCAATCCGGGACCCCTCAGGGGTTGTCTGACTGCTGGTTTAGGCCCAAGCCTGGGTATTGGTCCTAAACCAGAAGTTGGACATTCCTCACAATCTGGAACCGCTGGCTCCTAACTGCCCACCTGCCTGTCTGCCTACCTGATCGCCC